GTAACCATAGGCGAATATATATATGTACATAAATATACATATATATATATATATATATATATGATTTGAATGAGCAGGGTCATAGTGCAACAACATGCTATGCAGATTAGCCGCCTTACATGCTACAGCGTGTATAATTGGTATAAAGATTGTTACGTGTTCACAAGTGGTGGATCAGGGAGAACGCTCATGGCCATGGCTCGTCCCTTTGAGGAAGCACCGCGAGCCCAATTAAGACATCGCGAAAATCGACTGCAATTCTAGGAGTGCAATAAGTAATAGTAAGACAATCAACAATGAACAGCGATGCAGTCAATCAACAAGATGATAAACTAAAGAAGGTGTTATAAGAACTGTCCCCATACTACCGCGCGGAAGGGAGGACGATGTAATGTGCCTCGCAAGTCGACCGCGATCGCCGCTGGGACGCGTATACTGTAAGCCCTTGGGGATCAGACAGGTACGGTTCGGTCACCTTGCATCGTTGGTCCGCCCTTTAGTTCGCAATGCTAAAGCGCTGTTCATATGAAACACTAGCTGGAATTAGCCTAGCAAGTGTGGATTGAAGTAAAGGAGTAGTAACTATTTTGGGAATAGTTACTATATACATAAAATATAGAAGCATTTCTACACTCATACGTCTTTTGTGCTATTATAGTCTTCTTCAAGCATACTTACCTATATACTACCGTTCGACCACCCGAGAACCTGAGTAAGTCATCTATTGTGTTAAGCGATATTCGTCTCAAACTACCCCTGTACACTTTGCACATTCCTTTGTCGTGTAAACATTTTTTACGTCCTCTCACTTCTAACACGTATACATCATCCACAAGACTCAAATTGATTTGAGCATGCCCTGATGAAGTCTCCATGCTTTTGTTTTGTGAGTCGAAATCGAGCTCCCATCAGTGGAAGCATGCGAAGCTCTCCACAGTTCTCCTTCGTTTCCATACGTTTCCTTTTTGATGTTTTCAGTTTTCTCTACAATTTTTTTCAGTTCTTCTAGCAAGAAAGAAACGGTTAGGTGTCGACGTCTTTTTTTTACTGTATGCTTGCTCTTATCGCTTTTTTCTATGGAAATATCGAAAAAGATATTGAAATATTTGTAGTAGTGGGTAGTTTGCTGATTTTATAGTGAATGTGCGAATTCTTGCGGAACGCTAAGCGCCCCCTATTCGTCGCCATCCAGTGACTTAATGGCAGGCTTTTGGCCGAGTTGATTTCGACGGTGCAATCCGTACTCATTTCAGTCACGCCTATGCATGTGCGAATGAAGATAATTGCGTATCCAAGAAACATGAAGCAATCCAATTCACGAGATTCAAGGAATTTCTCTTCTGCCCTCTGAGGTTTCCACAGCACGTCACGTTCCGTCTGATCCTACAGTTCTGTAACTATCTATTCCAGTTGCACGTCCCTAGTCTGCCCACAGCTGAAAACTCCGAGCAAGTAAAAGATCTATGATCAAAAGCCTAAAAAGAACAAAAACAAATTACTAAAGGAAGAAAGCCAGCGATTCAGGTGTCATTTCCGTGAATACTCCCTCTCCGTCGGGTTTCTTGAAGAGGTTCCTAACGAATCCTTAGCTTCGATTAAAAAAAATTGGGTTCCGAGATGAGCAATCTCCCAACATTGAGCCCTAGGCTCGCGAAAATTTTTTTCTTGTTTGAAATATTTCCAAGAAATCGATCATGTTCCTTACGCTATTGTATACGGTGCTCCTGAATTAGAATTTTACCCAGACAGGAAGATTTGAAGCTTTTAAATGTTAGTTGTGCCCCAAAATTCCTATCTGCCGTCTTGCAAAGTGAAAAAGATTGAGACATATGATAAAGTTGAAATATGACGATGCATCTGGGAATTGTTTCTCGTTTTTAGGCGGTCGTGGTATGCGACGTGTTGTTTTCCTCTTTCCTACCAAAACTTAATGGAGAATTTTTTGTTTCAAAGCAAAGTCGCATCAATCAGCAAATGACATCGTAGGGAATTCATGAGTTGGAGCGGAGTGCTTACGCTCATGCCGAACGAATCTCTACAGTGCACAATTCCTTTTATTGCTGTCTCATACTCTAGTGTTCAAAGATCGCCTCTGTTTTCTTCGTTGTAGATCTCTAAGGGAAACCGGACTTTTACTCTTACTAAAGTTGCCAGGACTTTTCATTGCTTAATGGTAAAAATTGGAATACAGGGAAATTGCCACTTCTAACCTCTCCATCAGATTTAATGTCCTAGCAACAACAATGGCTTTCTTTGTTCATACATGATCGAATAGATTTAATTATGAGATGTGTTACTCTATGAAATTCAAGAGAAAGATAAAGCTTATTATTGATGAACTTATCTCAAGCTGCATTTACCTCCTAACTTTCACTAATTCAGCACAATTTCATCTGCCACCAGTTCATGCGTCTGTGTTCCACTCTGCGTAGAATACTTCTGCCTAACTTCAGCTCAACACTGAAGCATTGAATGCAAGGAAAACGACTGTAAAACGATGAAAGAATCCGTTGAACCATGTTCACGCTCTGCTTCCTGTGGAATCAATCTCAGCGAATCTTTTCAGTATATCTAACGAAGTGCTAGGACATTGTGAACTAATCCGATACAGAAGAAATGGTCATTGATGTAAAAGATAGTTCTAAAATTTTCGTTTTCCATTCAGCAGGTTTTAACGCCTTTTTTAAATTGTTCACGATTGGCAAGATTTTGTCTTACCGGCAACATCATCAAATATTCTATTACTCGAGAGAAACAAGAAAACAAAGAAAATAAAGGACAGGAACAAGATGAATTTCGAGTTAATTGAAAGCCGAGTTAACGAGTGCATCCAATTAACACGGTGACCTGTTGAGCCACGGATCTCCCTCATTTGAGGGATTCGAGTCGCTTAGTCGCGAGGCTACGCGGCGCGTCCCCAGATGGCGGATAGGGGGTTAATCGCAGACCAAAAGCCACCTTTGCTTCCCTGAGACGCAGGCGGATCCAGGGGATGGACTCTTTTTGCTGCGCTGATTTGGCGCATATTTCCTATATTTGCTAGGCGTATTCATGCATGCGTGTATGCGTGCGTTCTCGCTTATGCGGATTGTATTCTACGAGTAAATTTGGCCAAAAGCCTGCAATCAGGTGACTGGGAAGTATATGGGAGGCGGTTAGCAGTCGCCTCCAGCAAATAAGCTCTATGTCTACTCTGGGAGAGGCCGGCAAGCTACCCGCGACTGTACCCAGCTCCCACGTTCAGAAACCGAGCCCAGCGAGCAATACGTGGGTGTCAAAAATGCTAAACACAGTAAAAAGAACGGGCCTCATTCTCCTGACCCCAAAAGAGCCTCCAATTTCGCAGCGTTGGGTAGGACGAGTACGGAAAAGCTGCTAAAATCTCGGGACCAATGGAAGCTGCCTGGATTTCAAAAAACTATGGTGACGATCTGCACTTACAATGCACGTACACTTGCTTCCGAGTCTTCGATAGGAGACTTGCCCATGCGAGCAAGAAGGATGAGGTACGACGCCATCGGCCTGGCCGAGGCGAGACGATGCCACCCATTCAACGCCGTCTATGACACCGGAGAAGAACTGTTTCTCGGAACATGCGACAATAGAGAAGTCGGCGTCATCGGGGTTCTCGTCAACACGAGTTTGTCCATGAGCATCGAATAATTCAAACGGATTACAACCCGAATCGGGCGCTTACGATTAAAAATATGTCGATCAACACCGGCTTTCACAATATTCCTCGTTTGTGCGCCGACGTCAAACTGTAACGAAGAAGAAGTCGACGCGTTCCATGTGGATCTGGAGAAGTTCCTACAGAGAGGATCACACTCTTCAAAGTCATCATTGGAGATTTCAACGCCAAGATTGGACCAAGAAGAACGTCTGAAGAACGTCGCATTGAGACTCACGGATCAGAATGGAACGAACAAGGTGAGCCGCTCTTTGAGTTCATCATGACGACCAAGACCATCCATGACAATTTGCAATTCCAGAAGCCTCACCTTCACCGCTGGACGTGGGAGTTTCCCAATGGAGAGTACCCTAACAAATATACCACATCATAGTAAACAGAAGGTTTTGCCTAACCGATGTCACTGTTGTCCCAAAATTCTACACGGGATCAGACCACTGTTTCCTTCGTGCAAGATTCTATTTCTCGCGGAAAAGAGAAAAAACCGCTAAATTCAAAAGCCGAAGTCCTAAAACAACCGCAAACTGGGACTTATTAAGTCGGTCATTAGTCGTTAATTCATTGCTCGGCTGTTGGGAAGATGCCGTTGACGATAACATCGACGAGGAACACGATCGGCTCATTCAACATCTTCACGTCAGCGCTATGAAAGCTCAGAGTTCGAAAGTCACCAAGAGACGCTTGTCTCCAGAAACATTTGAGCTAATACGCCAGCGTGGAATCGCACGAGCTCCAGGCAACCGCGAACTATCGTCCGAACTTGCAAAACTGCGCAGACAAGCGATAAAAGAAGATCTTAGAAAGAGAAGAGCAGCAGTAATGGCCGAAGCTGCAGAGGCTGGCAAAAGCATTCGCAAAGCCCACCAAAGCTTCGCCAATTACAAGACCAAAACGAATGCACTCCGACGCCCAGACGGAACAGTTACAGCGCCCAGAAAGGCGATGTAGAAAATCATTCACGAATACTACTCAGATCTCTTCGATAGCCACGTCCACCTTCCGTCATATGAAGTAAAGGAGTATGCTGTAAGAGTAGCCACGATGAACTTTCTATTAACCTCTGCATTGGATTATGAATTCATCGTTTTCTTTCTCAGCAATCGGGAGGTCATTAAACAGCATACGTTTCCTTCGGGAAGCCATAGATTTTCTAATTATCGTGCAGATTTCCATCTTTCTGTTTGTGCTATTGAAGCGTTTGACCTAGTGAATTATATATTAGTGTACCCTTCCAGGCTCTGAAGAGGGTGATTCTGCCGAAACGTCAGCTACGACTGCGTTGTATGTGTTATTGTATGAAAGCAAACGTATGCTCTTTAACAATTTCGCCATTGCTGAAAAAGAAAACGACGAATTCATAAAGGAGAACGGATATGTTGCAGCACCGGTTCTCCCTTCCGAAATCCGACATGCCATTTCGTCGGTGAGAAAACGAACAGCACCATCCGAAGAGAATAAGATCAGAACACCTGAAGAAGCTTCCGCCAGTCTTCGTAAACACACTGGCTCGGCTGTTCACACGTTACCAGTCCGAATGCAAAGTCCCTATTCAGTGGGAGACCAGAAAGACCGTGTTACTGTTTAAAAAGGGCGGCGTACACGATATCGGCAACTATCACCGAATCTGCTTGCTGTCTGTCGTCTACAAACTTTTCACTCGAATCAGGCTTGCCAAAACAGTGGACGAAGGACAACCATGTGAACGAGCAGGGTTTCGAAAAAAATTTGGTGCGATGAACCACATCCACACGGTAACAAGACTCATTGAAGTATCGCCGGAGTACAAGCACCGCTCTGTCTCACTTTCATCGATTTAAAGAAGACCTTTGACTCAGTTGAGATAGAAGTCGTCATAAAAGTCCTTGATAGTCAAGGAGTCCCTACTCAGTACATAAAGATTCTTCGTGAGCTGTACAAAAATTACACAACCAAGATATCACCATGTTAACAATGACGTCAAAAGAGGGGTTGGGCAAGGCGATTCCAACTCGCCAAAATTATTCACGGTAACTCTCCAAAACGTTATGCGAACATTGGAATGTGATAATATGGGAGTGAAAATCAATTGTCGGCAGTTACATCATTTTCGCTTTGGTGATGACATCGTCCTTATAACACCAAACATTAGCCAAGCGGAACGTATGCTTGCCGACTTTGATAAAGCCTGTGGAAAGGTTAGTCTTCAACTAAATCTCACAAAAACGATGTTTATGAGGAACGGATCGTATGCCCCATTCACTCCTCAACGGAACGAATATCTCCGAATGCTCCAGTTATGTCTATCTAGGTCGGGAAATCAATATGGTGAACGACTTAGCTCTAGAGCTGAGCAGAAGGAAACAAGTGCCTTGGGGAGCTCTCAAGAGCGTCGAGGATGTAGTGAAGAAGACAAAGAATACCCGAATCCGTGCCTACTTTTTCGACTCAACGGCACATCCTGCCCTAACGTATGCGTCAGAAACCAGGTCGCTCCGCCAGCAGAATGAAAGGTCACTCAGCGTCATCGAACGCGCAGTCGAAAGGACAATGCTAGGAGTATCCTGTTCCACACAATTAAGGATACGAAGCTCCGATCTGCGACAACGATCAAAAATCAAAGATGCCGTTCTGTACGCCAGACAGTCGAAGATAAGGTGGGCTGGACACGTCATGCGTGTGAATGACAACCGATGGACAAGAGTGACTGGATTCCTCGGAATGTCAAACGTACTGCAGGAAGACCACCGACCCGATGGTCAGAGTTTTTCACGAAGAGCGTAGAAGAATGATATGATGCTCGACGAGTCTCTAGAGCGAGCAGAACCCACTGGGCTGCTTTTGCACGTGATAGGGAAAGTGGAAGATTTACTGGTGCACGCTCGAGTCACTCGACGACCAACGGGACTACAGGTGATACAAGTGATCCACAGGTGATGATGATACATATTACCTTTGTGTCATAGTTGTGTATTTGATACAAATTTATTATGGTAATACATATGTGGTCTGCAGAATAACTCCTGGCCCGTGTCGACATCCCTTTCATGAACTAAATTGCAACCAATTCCATTACCTCAAGCAGACGCCCTTTCGACCTCGTAAGCGAACGTTGATGGATTGGTAAACGCATGAGTGCTCTATTTTGAAATGCCAGAGTTGTTGTTAGGCTATACTGTGGCACATGTTTTATGCCCATCTATCAACTAACAAAATTTATATAAGCCTATATTGTGGCGTACGGGTTAAGTAGTCAAGGCGCTCCTATTATTGCTTTTGAAGTGCTATATTGTATTCACTAAATGTTATTTACTCATTATTTTAGTCAGCGCTAACAGTGCTTTGCGAGTTTGTCATGGTTAGTGAGCGTCTTTTGTTGACCTCTGTACTCGATCTACAAAAGGCGAAATTCGATCTTTTCATCAAGAAACCCAGTTTTGACTAATGGTTTAATCATAGTGGCTAATTTGACACCGGAAACAGTAACGAAGGCCAGAAGATAAGCACCCGGTTGCTCCTATCTTGGTCCTTATATTGAATGTTAAATTCCTTTCCAGCCTGTGTGCCAGAACGATGAAGCCTTGGTGTTCTCTAATCTTAGTTCAACATTTAGAGACATTAATGTCGCTGTGAAGTGATAAATCAGCGATGGTTCCTCAAGAACATTGGTTCCAAAAACATTGGTGCATTTGACGGTTTCGTCTGTGGTCTTCATTTCTAAAAAATCTTTTCGTCTTCAAGGATCTGATTTCATGAATGCACGTATTACAGCGCTGTGTTCAGTCCTCCTGTTATGCTTATCGCGCTCGACGAGAATGAATACTTTTGCTGGCGAAATTGCTGAGATAAGATCAAAGTAAACATAACGTCAAGAACGAAGGCAGGCGTATCTTCCGGGAAGTCCTGCATTCATCTTTTTCAATTTCCCTTTTGATTCTTTAAACAATGAAGGGAACGCACACAGTGTACGCTGGTTTTACGATGTCCACCCTCTGTCGTATCTTTTCATCAGGCTTTACAATGCACTTTTAAGGCTTCCAGTGAGTGGCAGGCTATGATTTGTGTGAAAAAACAATAAACAGTCTCGTTAAGATAAGAGAATTAGTTTACCAACCCATTAGTGAGCTTTCTTAATCTACTGAGAAACGAGTAAGCTATGAGCCGTCATATGTCTTCGAACATGGTTTCATATAAACAGTAATTCAATCTTTAAACACAGGTATCTCAACTAGCAGCAAATTTTATTATTTGAAAAATAAAACTACAGAGCATACACTCTCTGCGCTGCGATATTGAAGCTATCAGTCGTTTTCTGATTCGCTTCTTCTCATTGAAGGCCGTGTCTTAAGTAATGAATGGAAAAAACAAGCAAAATTTTGGTATCAATAGCCAATGAATGCCCTTTGGTCCATTAGTTATTCTCGTAAACGTTTTCTTCCACCACATTGGTTTGACCAATCCTTGAGTGACAGAACGTACATTCAGCTAAGTTTGGTGACAAATTTTAGATTCCATGAGCCGGTTAGTTAGCCTACGTCACGAGATTGGAGCAAAGACCATAAGTGCGATGCACACTATCTATAAGAGGTGCGCTACCTAAATCCTAAATTTGGACTAAAACATGCGGAACAGAAACGACTTTTAAAAAAACCACATATCTGTAGGAATGAGAAAAAATTTGGCCTATAAATTTAGTATATTCTCCGTGCTTCACCGGGAGATTTTCCAATCGCCAATGTCATTCATAAAGAGGGAAAACTACCTGAAGGATCATCTGTGAGTCAACTACACTTCTTGTATTGGTCTTTTCAATATTAAAGTGGTATTAATGATGCATAAAATAAATCATATAACACTCCACAACAGAAAAAAGCTTAAGCTACAAAAACCTAATTTGGCTCTATTTTTTGGTGTGTTGGAAGCGGCCGACATCATTTTTTGACTCCTTGTAAGCACATCATTTGAACCCTCTATAGGATTACATCCATATTTTATTAGTTTCTTTTATGCATGAGATGTGCAAGAGTTTCTACAATGGTGATGAAGATTATTATATCGGCATTGTATTTCAATTTCCGATAATGCCCTTAATAAGACTGTTTGTTGAGGAAGGGGATACATAGACAAAACAGCAATTACGCCATTTAGTTGTTGACTGACTCCGTGATTAACTGGAACTCTTAAGCATTCACCTAAATAGCACCAACGGCTTCCTCGTGATGTACGGATGTTGTAGCACAGTGACAGATGGTTTCCGCCCGCCGCGGTAGTGGCTTGCATACGGGACAGCGGTAGGAAAATGTCTAGCGGAATCCGCTCTTTGCACTTCATAGTTCTTAAGAAATTTAACTCTGCACAAGCTTTGAGAGTTCTCCTGAAAAATTCCATTCAAACCCATTAAAGCGAATCACAATTGCTTGGAATAGCTTCTCAGCAAACGTAGATTTAGTATGTATGCTCCTCTGAAGGTTTCTTTTACAAGTGTAAATGTTGGATACACGTGATTATCTGCTTCCTAAAAAAGAAGAATGTGCACAAAAATTCATTACGAAAGTTTTAGTATTGTGTAGTTGTGATTATCTAACATAGAGTGGACCATAGATTATCTTGTGTTATACAATCACAAGGATATGGAGATATGAGCAAATCTCGGAACAGCTGGCGGTCCTCGAAGCCTCGATAACTCTTTACAGGTGCTCAAGTGCTACCCAGCACAACAGGCTAGGCCCTTGCTTAGTCCTCTTCTCAACCAGTATTTTGCTACAACGGTGCTATCAGCAATTAATCGTCAGCAGGAATGATCTGGAGAGCAGTAATTGGCACTGATTGCTGATAGCACAGTAAAGAACTGCCTGAGAAAAAATTAAAGCAAATGCCTCGCCCGGTAAGGTAAATATTACGCGAGCCCCTTGAAGGTGACAGCGGGTTCGGCGCCCACCTGATACTCTGAGATTTGCTCATATCTTAGCGCGGTTGTAGTTATATTTCACATAATACTTTGCAACGAAGAAAGAATAGACAGTAAATAAAAGTTAGACGCTATCCTGTCTTACTTCTTCCATGCCAGAAAGCGATTCCCGAAACTCCGTACTCGAATGGAAGGTAGAGGGCTTGTAAAGTGGAAGAGTTACGCAGAACAGGTTTCTAGTTAATACAACTTCTTGCGATAAAATGCTTGCAACTCTATTCCTACTCCTCAAAGTTTCCTGTGGAATGAGAAACTCGTCAATTTCAACTGCTTTGCTTATCCAACCAATTTCCTTTTTTTGATAGCAAACATAGCCATATTTTTGCATCGAGTTTACTTCCTGAAGTTGTCCCAATATCTAACGACGTCCATAGACCGTTCAAACGCTTGAATGCATCCTATCAAGCGTTTTTTCGTCGTGATTAACTCCGATTGTGGTCTACTTTATTGCCTGAGTTATTAGGTTATTCGATGTGATTTCAGTTCTTGTTTTAAGAAAACGGGGCATCTGGAAAACAGATGTGAAATCTGCAGAGTAAAGAATAGATCGCAGTGAAGCATTCCTTACTACAAACCTCGTATCTAGGAATGAAAGCGTTAAGATGAAGGAATTTTATCCACAATGTCGTAACGTATATTTTTCAAAACACAATAAGAACTTCCATCAATTTTTTCTGAAAAGCAAGCAACAAAGAAATAAGATTAAAAATTACACGAAAAAATGAAAAGAAAAACAACGTGTGAAGCTCTCTTTGAGTTGGAGAGTTCTGCTGGACATGCGCTAGTTCGTATTTAGTAGGAGGAGCAAGGACAACTTTTATGAACTCTAAATGTCCATTAGAGCTTCGCATACTCCGACATGGCGATTTCCGTCTTCATTAGGAGTTTGCTGCAGTTTCATGAAGAAAAACAAGCCGCTCATATAACGTTCTATGCAGATTTAGTTCGTCTATAAAGCAATCAATTTTTCATAGACATGTTAGTAGCAATCACATCATTATAAGATTCGCGTCACTGTCTGAGAAATGTAGAGCCGAATTTTTTCACAACCAACACTTTATTCTCTCCGACTCTCAAAATTTTTCTAAAGGTACAAGCTTCTAGTCGCTTAGAAATTCTGTGTACCTGGTTCAGCAAGGCTCTTCTATTTTTATTCTTTTCTGTACTTTTATACCTTATTTTCTACTTCGTATTCATATTTCTTTTTTCAACATGGGATTAGTTAAATTTCCTCTTTGAGATGTACGAAGTCGGTGATTTCTTTCTCTTAGAGAAGTATGCGACCAATTTTCCGAACTAGGAAGGATGCAAGGGTACTGTTACTATGGTGCGGAATCGAACCAGAGGTCGATGCAGTGTGTATTGCAAGGCACCTCTAACCACCAGGCTACAGGCATCCTGGTGCGGTTAACAAGATTCCTACAGTTATAAGGATTTCGACAACTCTCTCCGGATGCTTGGATAAGAGCAAATACATTCGATCTCGCCACCTAATTATTAGTTCATTCTTGCTAGAAACAGTGAAAATAAAAGGTCTCACACGAAAACTATAGTGCTCTTCGTGCTCTTCAAATGAGACTAACTCGTGCACAGCACATAACAGCGCATTACAAAACGATTGGATACTAAATCGGCACACACTCAGTTTGTGGATTCATGACACTAACTATGAGAGAGTGATGCAAGTCAGGTGATACAGTGGTAAATGCGCCGTTTTCTTGTTCAACATATGTATAGATTTAGGGGTAGTTCTCATAAAACAAAGGGGAATGCAAGAGGACGAATATATCTTGAAAAAAGTACCCTCTAACACAGAAGATGACAAATAGAATACCATCGAAGAACAGTGGAGATAAGATATATGTGTGGGCATATATTTATTTATGTGATCTTATAAACTAATCTTCTTAAGCCGACGCGAGGTTGGTACCGATCTTTGTTGTCGTTGCCGTTGTTTTTGATGTTATTGATCGATGGCTGACGTTTCGGCGACATCGCCTTCCTCAGAGCCTGGACGTATTTTATATTAGAATATTTTCATTATTCGGTGGAAAAAAGGTTGAAGTGTTAATGAAGATCAAACTTTCAAGTAGGCGCCATATCGAACAGAAAGGCCACTCACCGTGATGTTACGTGCGGGACTGGCCCACACGTAGTTCACGTGGAGTCGCGAGTAGACACGCCCAGGGATCAAAATATCATTTTGAAATAGGGCGCCAGGTCACGTGTGATAGTGAGGCATTCGTCCTTCCGGTTCATCTTTGGATTTTTGAAATTTATCCAAACGCCTCAAGAGTTTTGCGCGTTGATGTTTTTGATTCCTGCGCTAGGATCCGCACAGTCACTTCAATATCATCGCCGTTGTGCTTTTGTGCCCTATGCGTACCTAGAGGGTGTTTAAACGGATTTTAGCTTTCCCATGCAGATGTTCTTTTATGCGGACACAAAGTGATCTACCCGTTTCCTCGATATATTCC